GGCATTAGGACGAGTGCGTCTGCTGCTCCAGGTACTCGCGTGTCTGCTACCCCAGGTGCTGGTGAGGCTGCTGCTCTAGGTGCGTGCGTGTCTGCCCCCCCTGGTACTGTTTCGACTGCAGCACTGCACACCTTCACGCTGGATTGAGGTGCCTCTCGCTGTTTCTTTCGTGACCGCACTGCCCTTGAGCCCCTTGCTCGGCCAGTTGCTGTCTCCCTTGCTGACCCCTCTGGGGGTCCGGTCATTGCGACCTCCTCCACTGTCCTTCCCTGCCCTGCGGTCTCGTCGGGCACACTGTCAGGTCTCCACCTCCCCTCGTTCTCCACGAACTTGGTGGCAGGTTCTGCTCTCCAGGACGGGGGTGTTCACCAGTTCACCCCTGCCTACGAGCGTGTGACACACTGCACGTGTGCTCGTACGGGCCGCCACTTGGCTACCTTCACCCGGCAGCCGGGGTCGGACCTGTACACACTAACTACTGCCTCCCCTCAGGTCGCTGCGTCTGCCTCTGCGTTTGCGTCCGCGTCAGGTCAGCTGTCTGCCCCCTGCTCGTGTCGCTCTCTAGCGCACAAGACTGTCCTCTGGCACCACCGACTTGGCCACCCGTCTGTGCAGCGCCTTCGTGTCATGCACTCCCGGTACCTTGTCTCTGGTCTTCCCAGGGTTCTCCCTCCTCTCCCACCCTCGCCTGCTCCTCCCTGCCTTCCCTGTGTCGAGGGGCGGCAGCGCGCCGCTCCTCACTCCTCCTCGTTTCCCCCGACGACTGCTCCCTTGCAGACGCTCCACATGGACGTGTGGGGCCCAGCCCGCGTCCGTGGTCAGGGTCAGGAGAGGTACTTCCTGATCGTTGTTGACGACTACTCGTGCTACACCACGGTCTTCCCCTTGCGCACCAAGGGTGAGGTCCCTGATGTTTTGATCCCTTGGATCCGCAGAGCTCGTCTCCAGCTCAGCGAGCGTTTCCGCTCGGACTTTCCTGTCCTGCGCTTGCACTCTGACAGAGGTGGTGAGTTCTCCTCCGACCTCTTGGCAGCCTACTGTGCTGAGCACGGCATTGAGCAGTCGTTCACGCTTCCGGCCTCTCCACAGCAGAATGGGGTTGCGGAGCGCCGCATTGGCCTGGTCATGGAGGTCGCTCGTACCTCCTTGATCCATGCGGCTGCCCCCCATTTTCTGTGGCCGTTTGCGGTCCGGTACGCTGCGCATCAGCTCAACCTCTGGCCCCGTGTCTCCTTGCCGGAGACCTCGCCCACACTGCTGTGGACGGGGGAGGTAGGCGATGCGTCGCGTTTCCGGGTCTGGGGATCTCGAGCTTTTGTTCGCGATTCGTCTGCGGACAAGCTCTCCCCTCGTGCTGTTCCCTGCGTCTTCCTCGGCTTTGTTCCGGACGCACCTGGTTGGCAGTTTTACCACGCCACCTCGCGCCGGGTCTTGCCCTCTTAGGACGTCACTTTTGACGAGTCTGTCCCCTACTACCGCCTCTTCCCCTACCGCATTTCCCCGCTCCCTCCCTCGCCTCTCTTCCTCGCGCCAGGTGCTGCTCTCGTAGACCCCCTCCCCCCTCAGGGTGGCGCTCCCTCAGGTGTGTCTCACGTAGACCCGGTCGAGCCTGTTGAGGTTACTGTCGACTCTCGTCCTGCTGGGGGTGCTGAGCCTGGGGGTGCGGACACTGGGGGTGCTGAGCCTGGGGGTGCGGACTCTGGGGGTGCTGAGCCTGGGGGTGCTGACTCTGGGGGTGCTGAGCCTGGGGGTGCGGACACTGGGGGTGCTGAGCCTGGGGGTGCGGACTCTAAGGGTGCTGAGCCTGGGGGTGCTGAATCTGGGGGTGCTGAGCCTGGGGGTGCGGACACTGGGGGTGTTGAGCCTGGGGGTGCTGTGCCTGGGGGTGCTGAGCCTGGGGGTACGGTGACTGGGGGTGCTGAGCCTGGCGGTACTGCGCCAGGGGGTCCTCCGCCTGGCCGAGACCTCTCCTCGGAGCAGTTGCGTGAGTGGTACTTACAGTACTGCAGCCTCCGGAGGGGTACCTCTGGGACCAGGCGAGCTACGGAGACTGGTGCTGGCACTTCTCCTTCTAGTCGGGAGCTCCCCTCTCGTGAGCGGATCCGTGAGTGGTACGAGCGCCGTTGCACACTTCGTAGTGGCGCGCCTTGTCTCACGGACCCTGCTGCTGCTGGTGCTGCGGACCCGGGCGTTGGAGCTGCTGCTGGTGCTGAGGACCCGGGCGTTGGAGCTGCTGCTGGTGCTGAGGACCCGGGCGTTGGGGCTGCTACTGGTACTGCGGACCCGGGCGTTGGAGCTGCTGCTGGTGCTGAGGACCCGGGCGTTGGAGCTGTGACTGGTGCTGAGGACCCTGGTGTTGGAGTCCCTGTTGGTGCTGCGGACTCGGGCGTTGGTACTGCCGCTGGGGGCACTGGTGCTGTCCCTGCTGTGTCTGGAGTCGCCGCGCGCCCTCAGCCGTACTTCGTTCCGCTCCTTCAGCAGGTTCTTGGTCTCTCGCCTCCTCCTGGTCCTCCCCCTCCTTTAGTGTGTCCACTGCCTATTCAGTCACTGCCTGCTCCTTCTCCTTACTCTGGTCCTACTGACGGTCTTACTGAGCGTCGTGAGCCTGCGTCTCGCCCTGCGTCGCCTGTCCATCCTGCTAGCACTGGAGCTCGTAGTTCGCGTCCACGTCCTCCTCCTGCCCCTGGCACGCACCGGATGTCTCTGCGTCCGTCCACTGCCCCTCTGCGTGCCCCTTTGCCTTCTCCTCTTGCTTCCTCTCTTCCTGCTCTTGCCGACCCGGAGTCCGACTCTCTTCGTGCTACCAGTCCTACTGTCACGCATCTCCTTGCTACTTCCGTCACTGACCCTTCTTTTGAGTCTTCTGCTGCGTCTTCACTAGTTGCTGAGCTCGTCGACTTTGCTACTCGCTGTCGTCTTGACTACGCTGCTAGTCTTGTCGCTGAGTCTGAGTCTGTCTGTCCTCCGTCCGTCGGGGGTGCGTGTGCCCTTGGCACGGACGTCCTTGAGGACAGGCAGGAGGAGTTTCAGTGCTTAGCTGCCGCTTCACCTCATCTCGCGTCTGTACTGCTAGCTCCTGAGAGAGACCCGGATGCACTAGACATCCCGACTCCGCGCTCTTACGCGGAGGTGATAGAGGGTCCCTACTCCTCTCAGTGGCAGGCAGCTATGGATGCAGAGATGGCTTCCTGGAAGTCCACACGCACCTACGTTGACGCTGTCCCCCCCCCTAAGGCGAACATCGTCAGTGGCATGTGGATCTTCAGGGTGAAGCGGCCGCCGGGTTCTCCGCCTGTCTTCAAGGCGCGTTACGTGGCTCGTGGCTTCAGTCAGCGGCAGGGAGTTGACTACTTTCAGACCTTCTCCCCCACCCTGAAGATGACCACTCTTCGGGTACTCCTGCACGTTGCTGCTCACCGGGACTACGAGCTGCACTCTTACGACTTCAACACTGCTTTCTTGCAGGGCAGCCTGCACGAGGAGATCTGGCTGCGTCGCCCACCTGGCTTCAGTGGGTCTTTCCCTCCTGGTACCCAGTGGAGTCTCCGGCGTCCAGTCTACGGTCTCCGCCAGGCGCCACGTGAGTGGCACGACACACTGAGGACCACGCTGGCGGCACTTGGGTTTGCTCCTTCTACAGCCGACCCGTCGCTGTTTCTGCGCACCGACACTTCTCTGCCGCCGTTCTACATCCTCGTGTACGTCGACGACTTGGTCTTTGCCACAGCTGACACTGCTGGACTCGCCTACGTGAAGTCCGAGCTGCAGAAGAGACACACGTGCACTGACCTGGGTGAACTGCGCAGCTACCTTGGCTTGCAGATCACTCGGGACAGAGCACGCCGCACCATTACCCTGACTCAGTCACACATGGTGCAGCAGGTCCTTCAGCGCTTCGGCTTCACGTACTCCTCGCCTCAGGCCACTCCTCTGTCTACTCGCCACTCGCTCTCAGCTCTGCCTTCGGATGAGTCCGTAGAGTCAAGTGGCCCGTACCCAGAGCTTGTTGGCTGTCTCATGTACCTGATGACCTGCACACGACCTGACCTTGCATACCCTCTTAGCATTCTTGCGCGCTATGTTGCTCCTGGGAGACACCGACCAGAGCACATGGCTGCAGCGAAGAGGGTGTTGCGTTACTTGTGCAGTACGTCGGGCATGGGACTAGTGCTTGGAGGGCGGAGTTCAGTGGTCCTCACTGGTCACGCGGACGCTTCTTGGGCTGACGACCAGGCTACGCAGCGGTCGTCATAGGGTTACACCTTCAGCCTTGGTTCCGGCTCTATTTCGTGGCGGGCTACTCGCTCGTCTTCTTTTCTCGGCTCCAGTTGTGAGGCTGAGATCTACGCAGGGGCCATGGCTGCTCAGGAGCTTCGCTGGCTCACCTACTTGCTGACCGACCTTGGAGAGCCGCCTCGTTCTCCTCCAGTCCTGTACGTCGACAACAAGGCCATGCTGGCCTTGTGTCGAGAGCAGAGACTGGAGCACAGAACAAAGCACATTGCTCTCCGCTACTTCCTTGCTCGTGAGCTGCAGCAGCGTGGTCAGTTGCGACTTGCGTACGTGGCCTCTGAGGCCAACACTGCTGATGTTTTCACCAAGGCACTTGCGCCTTTTGATCATCAGCGCTGCTGTACCCAGCTGGGTCTTGTGTCTGTCTTGCCTCACTTGCTCTCCTCTTGACCCTCTTTGTACTGTTACATATATATATCACTGCTCTTGCTTGTTTAGTCTTATATATATATGTACTCCTGCATGTGAACTGGCCTTGTGGCCTTGAACTTGTGCTCGGATTGTGTGGTGACATTGTGATCCATATGAGCTTGCTTTGCTTTGCTTTGCTTAACTTGACTGGTCTTGTGACCCCTAGTTCTCCCCCACTTCGCCTATGGGGGTGTGTCAAACATTATATATTGTTGTAGTTGTTTAGGCTACAGTGGGTTAGCCTATAGGAGGTACACACTTCTAGGTTTCCATATTTGTACTCATTTCATTCTTAGTCATTTCATTCCTTGTTCAACAGTCCCTTCTTCCTCCATGCCCGCGGCGACTTTCTTGCAGATGCCACTCCTCCTCCCATCTCCCTCCCTACTTATGCTGCAGATCTGGCGAACGTGCCTCGCCCCTTGCCCTTCCCTCGTTGTGCCGCTGCGGATCAGGCGAGCCACACTCGCCAGTCCGTCTTCTATCTCGTTGCCAATGCTTATCAGGCGAGCGCGCCCCGCCTCCCTGCCTCCCATCATGGTGCCGACGCGGAGCAGGCGAGCGCGGCCCTCCGTTCCACCCTCCTCCGCGCTGCCGACGCGGATCAGGCGAGCACGACCCTTCGTTCCGCACTCCTCCGCGCTGCTGACGCGGATCAGGCGAGCGCGACCCTCCGTTCCGCCCTCCTCCGCGCTGCCGACGCGGATCAGGCGAGCGCGACCCTCCGTTCCGCCCTCCTCCGCGCTGCCGACGCGGATCAGGCGAGCGCGACCCTCCGTTCCACCCTCCTCCGCGCTGCCGACGCGGATCACGCGAGCGCGACCCTCCGTTCCGCCCTCCTCCGCGCTGCCGACGCGGATCAGGTGAGAACTCGTCCCTGGGCACTTCATATCGCATCTCCGCTCGCCCTCGCTGCTGCTCTGACGAATGATTCGCCTTCGCTCGCGCGTCCCGGCTACTTCCATGCTGCCGCTCTACCCTTGGCGAAGGTGACCACGCGTCACGCCTTCCTCTACGTGGTCGATGCGGGTCTGGTGAGCGTAATTCATCACTTCGCCTTCCCCCTCCCTGCCGATGCAGATCTGGTGAGCACGACCTGTCGCCTCGCCTTCCTCCGCACATGTGATGCAGATCTGATGCATGCGGCCCCTCTTTTTGCCTTCCTTCGTCCTGCCGACGCGTATCTAGAGGATGATCTTCTTCCGCACGCTCATACGTCATGTCGCCCTGCTTTTCTTGTGGCTCAGGCGCCGAATCCTTTCCGTGGCTGTCGTCGCCAAGCTCTGTTCGCTGATCTGACGAACGATCTCCTTCATTCGCCCCACCTTGCTCCGCCTCGTCGCGCGCCGGCGCCTGATCCGATGCGCCTGGTGCTGCCGGGAGATCGCGTCGCGTCCCCGCCTCCATACGTTGGTGCTTTGGCTCCTCGCCGTACTCGTCGACTTTGGTTCCGTCTTCCTCGCGCCTCGCCTTCACTGACTCGTCGGCGCAGGAGATCTCCTTATCTCCTTCGCTGCAATACCCCCGTCTAAACACCGTGTGGTCCTCCAGGGTGCTCCCGCGGTCTCCTCCACCGCGACGGCGCTCCCCTTCTCCCGGCAAGCTTGGCGCTCCCGTATCTCGGCGACGTCGTCCGCCGCCTCCCTCTTCTCGTCGTCCATCAAGCCGCCACGGATCGCCGCCCGTCATGGCAGATCCCGATCCGTCTCCGCCTTCGCAAACTGATCTGCCTCCGCATCGTTCACGCGTGAACGGAATCCGATCCGCGCGGAATGCTGGCCTCCGCGGCGACCACTCTAGCGAGCACCCACGTTCATGCGTCCGGCCCTGACACGGCCGTTCCTCCTCACGACGAGCCCAACGCAGCTCGTACTCGTCCATAACTCACACACGCACTGGCTTTTCTCTTGTTATGAAAGAGTTTCCTCCCTCACCCCGTAGGTCCTCCCATAGTGGCGTGCCACCGGATGCTAGATCTGAGATAACAACTTTCCACTAATATGAGAGAATAACAAGAGAAAAGCATCGGGTGTGTGTGAGAGAGTGAATTTACCTGGCCCAGGCTCGAACCGTGCATTTCTCATTGTGCGGCTCGAGCCTGGGTTGGTTTGTTCACATTGGTTCCTTGGATTCCACCCCTCGGTGCTCTCCTACCCACCTCGCGTCAGTTTCCCTGGTCCCCAATTACCTGCCCTACAATGTGCACACTCAACATTGCTACACCATAACTACACCGCATACTCTGGCACCTATATGCATAATCATGCATATTCGGTGACAACGGCTGTGCAAGGACGGTGTGGTGGTGCCGCTGAGAGAGATCAGAAGGGCCCTGCAAAGCTCAGCTGGCACGGCAAAAGGGAAAAGGAGGTGGGAAGGACAAGCGGTGATTGAGTGGGATGAGGTCATCAGGCAGAGGGACTCCCTTGCCACGCCTGCCAGAGCACATGGCGTCCTGCTGAGGCTGCATTGTAGAATTTTGCAAGTGGGCACGAGGCTGCAGTTTCTGCACAACAGTGTTTGTCCGCACTGCAAGGGAGAGGAAACGCCGGAGCTCTGCCTGTTTGGCTGCCCGGCAATACAAAAGGTGATGGGTTTCCCGAAAGATGTACTGACAGCGATGAATCAGGAGAAGCGCTGGGAGAATTTGGAGGATCTGCTGTTCATGCAGAGGAGTTCAAAGTCGGAGTTTCCAGAAAGTTCCTTCATTGCTACCACACTTCACCAAGTCTGGCTAGCGAGGTGTGACGCGAATCTGCACAACATTCGGTTCCAGACAAAGAGAGTGATACGGCGAGTGGTGAGAAAATGAACGAGGATGAATTGACTAAGGGAAAGTTGGGTACAAGTAAAAACCCTAGAAAGTCGTACCCCATATGTGCTACCCCACTATAGCCTACAACAGTTATGTCATATAAATCTGACAAGTGGTGGTGAATTTTGTCGTGCATGCACTCGTGTACTGCCTGACGCGGGAAATTACAGCAAGTAAGCGGAGAGAGCCGGTAATTGGTGACACATGGACGCATCTGGAGGCAGACGAGGCAAAGGTTATGAAGAGGATCTGCAACAAAGCTGCGCAGCTGATGTGGAAGATGGGCTTCAGCTCCCTCTGGGACAACCCGAGGCTGACGCATCAACCATGGTAGGCTGCGAAAGGGGAACCGTGGCAACGGTAACCTTGGCCCTCCCCTAGTTACACAGTTATGACTGGCGATGTTCTTAAAGCATTCTTGTACTGTTTTAAAGCATTTAAAAAACAAAAAAATGTTTCTTGGCAGGCTCCGATAAACCCTCGCCTAAAAAATCCTAAGTATCACACGGGCGTGTAACCTCTGTAAACTACCTTTACCGCGGCTGTAAAAAAACCAACCAAATATACTGAGAAACCTGAACCGTATGGAACAGACAGGCTGGCCTTGTCTCATTCCAATCGCCTAATTGAACCGTATCGGACCATAATCTGGCCCGGCCACCTTTAACTGTGCTTTTCCTCCACGGATGTCATGATGGTCAAACCCAAAAAAACCCTCGACGCCATCAGTGTAGTGTCATGGCTGCCAGAGAATGAGGGAGGGTCAGGGCGGTAAAGAGGAGAGCATGATTGTGAATATCCCAAGAAGCTATAGTGTGGGCGATAGTGCTAGAGTCAAAGAGTTCGAGAAAGCAAAAGTAAGAAGAGAGTGACATTGCAAGAGTGCAAGAGCACAAGAGGGAAGGAGCACAAGAAAGCTACAAGTGTGAGAGCGCAAGAGCGAGACATTGGAGAAATGCGATTGGGCAAGTGCGGGTTTGCAAGAGTGCACGTGTGAGAGTGCAGGAGCGCAAGAGCGAGAGGGTGCGAAGTTTGAAAGTGCAAATGAAAAAAAGGACAATAATGCACGTTCGCTAGAGTGGGACAGTGAGAGAGTGGAAGGGCAGAAGAGTACGAGAGTGCTCAAGTGTGGGGGCAGCAAATTATCTGAAAGACATGAGGGGCATTCACTCTGACTAGCTTCAATGAAAACGTCGTACACTTTACACTGCAACGCCATGTATGAAATTCCAAAGGTTACAGTCTTGGCGGCAATTTTCGCGTCATAATTCAGCTTGCACTCACGACTGTCCCTAACTACATATCGTGTAGTGCTGTGAGAGTACGACGGCTTATGCTTGCTTATTATGCTATATTTAGCTTGGGTTTATTTTATCATGCATAGATATGCTTGATGTCCTAGGTTAGGTGCATTCCTTTACGTAATTATAGTTATAGCACCGAACCAGGTTACGTGTACCGAACTCAAGCCTTGCGGCTGCCACCGAATTGCTTTCTACGGAGTTCTGGAAGGTTCTGTTCAGGACGCTTCGCGACCCTCAGAATATTCGTGTAACACCTGGGTTACCTGTCTTGTGTCGAGAATATATGTAGCCTCGTGTTGTACCCAACTGGATCAATTCAATTCAAACCCACTTTTATGAGCTCAATCCTAGATCATTTCACTTGATAATCAGAGCCTGTTTACTCACAAAGTTTTTCGACCACTAAAACCTAGCTTTTACAACCGTGGGGGCGACGACGAAAAGCGTCGATTCCGGGTACGTAAACCAGTTCCGCGCTGTTTTTAACCCCCCCTGTGAAAAAGTGAACGCGAATGAATGAACTATGAACGAAGTGGGTACAAGTAACAACCCTAATTGGGTTGTACCCCCTATGGCATACCCCACTACAGCCTACACAAATGTATAAGCTAAATAATGTTCTGACACACCCCCATAGGCAAAGTGGGGGAGAACAAGGGGTCACAAGACCAGTCAAACAAAGCAAAGCAAAGCAAGCTCAGGGTGGATCACAAAGTCACCACACAGTCCGAGCACAAGGTTAAGGCCACAAGGCCAGTTCACATGTAGGAGTATATATATATATATAAGGCTAAACAAGAAAGAGCAGGTATATATATATGTAAGAGTACAAGCAAGGTCAAGGGGTGAGCAAGTGAGGCAAGACAGGCACAAGACCCAGCTGAGTGCAGAAGCGCTGATGATCACAAGGCGGAAGTGCCTTGGTGAAAACATCAGCAGTGTTGGCCTCAAAGGCCACGTACGCAAGTCGCAACTGACCACGCTGCTGCAACTCACGAGCAAGAAAGTAGCGGAGAGCAATGTGCTTCGTTCTGTGCTCCAGGCGCTGCTCCCGACACAAGGCTAGCATGGCCTTGTTGTCTACGTACAGCACCGGAGGAGAACGAGGTGGCTCTCCGAGGTCAGTCAGCAGGAAGGTAAGCCAGCGAAGCTCCTGTGCAGCCATGGCCCCGGGGTAGATCTCAGCCTCACAACTGGAGCCGAGAACAGAAGACGAGCGAGTAGCCCGCCACTAAACAGAGCCGGAACCAAGGCTGAAGGTGTAACCATGTGACGACCGCTGCGTAGCCTGGTCGTCTGCCCAAGAAGCGTCCGCGTGCCTAGTGAGGACCACTGGACTCCGCCCTCCAAGCACTAGCCCCATGCCCGACGTACTGCACAAGTAGCGCAACACCCTCTTCGCTGCAGCCATGTGCTCTGGTCTGTGTCTCCCAGGAGCAACATAGCGTGCAAGAATGCTAAGAGGGTATGCAAGATCAGGTCGTGTGCAGGTCATCAGAAACATGAGGCAGCCAACAAGCTCTGGGTACGGGCCACTCGGCTCTACGGACTCATCCGAAGGCAGAGCTGACAGCGAGTGGCGAGTAGACAGAGGAGTGGCCTGAGGCGAGGAGTACGTGAAGCCGAAGCGCTGAAGGACCTACTGCACCATGTGTGACTGAGTCAGGGTAATGGTGCGGCGTGCTCTGTCCTGGGTGATCTGCAAGCCAAGGTAGCTGCGCAGTTCACCCAGTTCTGTGCACGTGTGTCTCTTCTGCAGCTCGGACTTCACGTGGGCGAGTCCAGCAGTGTCAGCTGTGGCAAAGACCAAGTCGTCGACGTACACGAGGATGTAGAACGACGGCAGAGAAGTGTCGGTGCGCAGAAACAGCGACGGGTCAGCAGTAGAGGGAGCAAACCCAAGAGCCGCAAGTGTAGTCCTCAGTGTGTCGTGCCACTCGCGCGGTGCCTGGCCGAGACCGTAGACTAGCCGTCGGAGGTTCCACTGGGTGCCAGGCGGGAAAGTCCCAGTGAAGCCAAGTGGACGGCGCAGCCAGATCTCCTCGTGCAGGCTACCCTGCAAGAAAGCAGTGCTGAAGTCAAGAGAGTGGAGCTCGTAGTCGCGCTGAGCGGCTATGTGCAGCAGCACCCGAAGAGTGGTCATCTTCGGGGTGGGAGAGAAGGTCTGAAAGTAGTCAACTCCCTGCCGCTGACTGAAGCCACGAGCCACGTACCGCGCCTTGAAGACAGGTGGAGAGCCCGGCGGCCGCTTCACCCTGAAGATCCACATGCCACTGACGATGTTCGCCCCAGGAGGGGGAACCGCGTCAACGTAGGTGCCTGTGGACTTCCAGGAAGCCATCTCTGCATCCATAGCTGCCTGCCACTGAGAGGAGTAGGGACCCTCTACGGCCTCCGCGTAAGAGCGCGGAGTCGGGATGTCCAGTGCATCCGGGTCTCTCTCAGGGGCAAGTAGTACGGACGCGAGATGAGGTGAAGCAGCAGCCAGACACTGGAACTCCTCTTGCCTGTCCTCAAGGACGTCCGTGCTAAGAGCACACTCACCCCTGACGGACGGAGGACAGAAAGAC